TAAATCCGTTCACGAGTAAAGGAGGAGATTGATAAAATTGTAGGCAAGAGATTAAAGAGCTGATGGTCTGTACTATAGATCATTTTAATAATTTGTGATGATATATCCGTTTAATATTTTAAGCATTTGTCTGTTACCCTTTAGGTTTGTTTAATGTTTTATTTCCTTTTTGGATCGCTGTGTGTTTAACGGTTGACGGCCCTAATGACGTTTTATGACCTTTTATGTGTTGACGGGTCACTAAGACTGTAACAACAAATAAGATGTTCCAACAGACTTGCCGCAGGGTTGTCATTGACGCCTCCAATAGTTATCAAGTTGGTGGAGTTAGATGGTTTTCCGTTTTATCGAGAAAACCGACAAATCAGAAAGCTTCATTTTGGTACAAATAATGACAAAATAACTCTTCATTCGGTTAATTTCATTCGCTGCAGCTATAAAGCTATGGTAATCTATCCGAGAAGCATATGCCTATCTTTACTAGTATAAGTCTCTCTGGTCGACGGATTGTGTGCGGTATCAACTGTATAGGTAAGTTTGTCATCATGTTTATATAGTACCAACTGTGCTGAATTAATATAACTTATGGTTCATTTTAATAATCCCGTAGGATTATAGAATTACATTTCTCTTCAATTCTCGTATATTTCCCGTGTATAATATTTGCCATGAATACTGGTTGATCTTCTCTTCAAACTGTAATCTCCTTATCCCTTTTACCCGGAAAAGTATATCTCGACAACTATCCGCATCTTCCGTTCGGTATAATGTTGATCAGTCTTTAAACCATTACCCTGATATAAAATTGTGTTCACACATCTTTAAAAGTTACGTCAATATCTGTGCCATTTTATTAAAATGAATGCAAAGTTTTCTGAATATATGGAATCTTGATTTTTTTCGGTATTTGTTTTTCTTTTGTTGTTGCTCAAATGCATATCTGTATTAAACGACCTACTATTAGCCTTCTATTGTATACATGTATTTTCGCTTACATCACTAACAGAGTCCGACATATGCTTTTGAAATCTTTTCATCTTTGGTTAAACCGCGGATATCACAACTCAGCTGTCTGCATTGATTACACCATATTCAGGGTATGAAAGTATCCCTGGCAGACATTGATGTATTCATCGACGAAAGACAAATATACGATTATTTCATTATTCACTAACAAATGATTAAAATAACATGTTGCTTTCCCCCGAAAAGGACAGCAATATTGTGACGGGGCAATTATTGGTGTCACATTTTCAATAAATGTCTTCAAACATTATGTGAATTGTGTATGATAATTGTGTTCAAACTTTAAAATTGTGTTATTTGATATGTAAACGTACAATTTCATTTGTTTGTTTCTGATTTAACTATTTGAGTATGTAAACCACGAAATATAAGTTGATAGATTACTTGTAAAGCCTTTATCGTGCAGATCTTTCATTATGCCGTATTTTCACGTTGTGAGCCGTTTCCAAATATAGAAGAAAACAGCAACCAACTTTTCCTTCTTTAAAAAAGGTTTCATGACTAACCAAATGATCGTTGTTACCTCGCATAGATCTAAAACCGCTCTGTAGGGGTGATATTATGCGATTGGAGTCCAGATACAAAATTAATCTAATTAAACTAATTTTCCATTAGTTATCAGATGTCCCATTGTTTTCAATGATGTTTTACCACTGATTCGTTTAATTGAACCTTTTTGGTGGATGTATTGGAATTTAATTTGATTTTTATTGCGTTTTCTTTTGGACTTTGGTATACATTCTTGGGCTATCTCAATAAGTTCGGATGTAAAGGATTCTATCGGGTCGTCTAAATTCAGAAATAAATGCTGTTGATAAGTTTGGTACTGAGATGTTCAAGGTGGTATATAATCGCTCTCTGTGGATCCACAATTTCTTAGAAATATTGGAAAGTGGTTGCTTCAGCAGAGAATATACTGTACCGTCTATTCGAAATCAAGTAACAGAGATGGGTGACAAAACAATCTTCCTTGTCTCAGGAAAATTGATGTTGTAGGAATATTTTTCAAGTTAGACATGAAATGAAGAATAGTATTCGTTTTTTAAAATAAATTCTGATGAGGAATACAGAGAGTCTGCTACTGTAATGCTATTTCATTAAATCAAATTATACTTAGTATGTAATGATTCATTTTCATTGTTTTCAACTCTTTCTTAAATAATAGCAAAATTGTTTCATGGAAATATTACAAAATGCTTACCAATGAGGCAACATGAAATTACACATCTTATTATAATCGAACCACAAATGGGTCAAGACAAGTGCGTTACCACTGCGCCACCGAACCATCTTACGATGATGACATTACAATTATTAAAAAAAAAAAAAAAAACCTGAAGAAACACACATACCCTCTAGTGAAGCGAGAAAACAGTAAGTTTATAATGTATATATTGTTCAACTTATGTTCGCTTTTAGGCACTGCTAATTTAATATTAGTCAGCTGTCAAATAAAATGAGCGGAGGGAAATGATCACCTATAATATAAGATGATTAATCAGATTGCGGCTCAGGGTAGCCATTCGCCAACCTATTTATAAACTAAAGTGGGTTTATAATGGGACTATTATTGTAATAATCAATCGGCTAATCTCTATGATACCGCGTTTAAAAAGCAATACTCGAAAACAAAAACAACTATTTACACCCATCCAAATGGTTGTAAAACCCATTTCCACAAAATTTTAAAGTTTTGAATTATTGTGTCCAATCACCTCCCTATTTATTCATGCTATCCGATTTATCGCTGCTTTTGTTGTCGTCCGCTATTCAACTAGTATCACTGACCTGAACGTGGTTGAAAGAGTTGTATCACGTAGCTGGCTCAGCTTTTCATATATACTGTTCATATGAATACTTTATTGTATGCAAGTGGAATTTGTTTTACATTCCGATTTGTTTAAATGTTTAAATTGTAATCCAGTTTAAGACGTAGGTTTGGGCATGTACCCATTATTTTTTTCGAGTTAATGTACGGGAAAACATGTAAATACATGTCAAGAATTGTGTTCATTTATTAAATCAATTAACTGGTCAAGACTATTTCCTTGCAATTCAAAACCTGCCACATACTTATTACACATAAGAGCTATAAAAGTTCTCTCACTAAACAGGGTCTAGTATAAGAAACTTTGAATCCGCATTAAAAAAAGAACGCAAGACACTCTATAGGCACTGCTGCGCAAAGTGTTGCAATAACCTTATGCACATTTTTTATTTTCACGGTTTTGGTAACACTTATGCTATGTAATTGCAACAGATTATCTGCATACACATGTAAACTGAATGCATCCCTCTGCTGGCAGACTTGTTAAATTATCGAAAAGCTCGAAAATGATCACAGAAACCTTGCTTGCTATGTGTTTTTAGATAAGAGAATATATATTGACCACGTCCATCGTATATACCAATCAGAATTAGAAACCAAGGACAGAAAAGATTCATATACGTCAGCCATATATCTAGATATTTTTCTACCAAGAAAACAACAAGGACAGCTAGCCATCAAGCTGTTTGATCAGAATGAAGATTTCAAATTCCGTTTTGTGTATTAACAATTTTAGATAGCAACATTCCTACATCCCTAACACCTCGTGTTGACAAGTCGCAGTAGTTCAATCGATATGAAGCTAGACGCGACTGACGTCCGTTAGATTGTCATCTGGTACTCTTGCATGTTGCCTTGTCCTTCGACTACAAATTCTGGAAGATGAAAATGGAATTAAATTTTCACAATCAAAAGCAGTTTGTATGCATTTTTGTCAATTGCGGAATCAACACGGCGATCCAAATCTGTATCTGTGTGGTGTACCCCTTCCGGTTGTTGAGTAAACCAAATTCGTTGGTGTAATATTCGACATGGCATTGTCGTTCCTTCCACTTATAAAATGCCTTAAAGTCACTGAATATTCTAAAGGTGGTGTCCCACACTGGTTGGGGAGCTGATGGAAAAGTGTTGCTTAGACTTTATACAGCTCTATTTAGTTCAAAATTTGACTACGGTTCCATTGTGTATGGATCTTCTAGACCTTCACATCTCAAATTATTAGACACTGTTTATCACCAAGGTCTCAGGCTCGCTCTCGGAGCTTTTCCGACGTCACCTTCAGAAAGACACTATGTAGAGTCTAACGAACCATCACTATATAGCCGTCGAAATGAATTGGCCTTGCAATACAACATTCAGCGTAAGTCGAATCCTTCACATCCTGCTTGTTTCAAAACAAATCAAAGACCATTGCACCATTTATTATTCGGATTTCCACTCTTTTACAAAACACAAATATTGATTATGGTCAGATCCAGTCATTTGGAACGATAGAAATTCCCCCCTTTCTCTTGAATTGACCTGAAGTTGACTTTTCACTTCATGCAATGGTTAAAACAGACACTGAATGTTGTTATCTATTCACCGTTAAACATTATTTATTGAATCGAATTAAACTTCTGTCTACTCGTACCGTTACAAGTCTAAAAACCCTTATTGAATCTGTTGAGATTTGTAAAATTCTACGTTACCTGAAAAGATCTATAAAATATGACTATGGCGTACCATTTTAATCCTTTGCGTTAATGTACCCATTCAAGATTTTTAGCATTTGCCTTTTACCTTTTGTTTTTGTAATGCTAATTCCTTTTGGATCGCTGTGTGGTTTATCGGTTGATGGCCATAATGACTTTTTTATGTGTTGATGGGCAGTTCAAATTGACATAATAATAATTCTAAGATTATACCAGATAACAACTGATCAATTGCTGTGGATCGTTATATATCTCAGCAAAAAACTTAAGCAACTAGATATATATATACAAAATATATCTCTGAAGTTGTCCTTTGTGTCATAAGTATTATATTTTGGCACCGCCATCTATTGCTCTCTAGTTATCAGTCTTTGACAGTAAATTGTTCTCTTCAAAACGTAAACAAGTTTTATAACATAATGTTAAATGCTAAATGTTGTCATTTCAGTAATATGGATATGAAAAAAGAAGTGGGGATTGGGCTGCAGTCGACACCTAAATACCTACCTGCATGGTATCGTTACGACAATGAAGGATCGCGACTTAATGACATGTGCCTGGAGAAAAACGAAAACTACTACTTTCATAGGTGTGAACTGGGAATTTTGAAAACCCACATTTCGGTGAGTAAAACAAAACAACTGGTATCCTCTAAATATCATAGACCTAACCTTTTGTCCGAGAATAAGTTGTGAAAAAGTAACAACCATTCGTTAACAGAATGATAATGCTCTATTTGTTGTTCATTGGTGTATTTATACCAACATTGTTTTTGTAACATTTACATTTCTATGACATCACTAGAGCAGCACTACGAATTTCTATTCCCTTCTTAACTTTTTCATGAATGTAATCTAAATGGGAGCCAAGATCATTACGTATATAGATTATGGCCTGAAACATGGCAAACAAAAATGTGAAAATGTATCGATAATAGTCTGTGTAAGGGAACTCGGATGCACTTTGGGTCAGATAAAGGAGCATGTGGTTATGTTTAAATAAAACGTAAATAGCGTCAAAATGTCCTCTAGGACAATCGCCCTGTGCCATTGTGGAAAACAAATTATATTGATTCGTCCTAACTAAGTTAAGTCCTAGGGTAATTATGTTGTACTAACCAAAATTAAGTTGGCCAACCAATAAAGGGAGTGGTTAAAGAAATGGTAATTTCACAATAATCTTAAATTCTAGGATAAGTTTACTTGACGGCTGTTTGTATTACTGAGTAGTTGTTCTGTGAAAATATTCTTCATATATATGTTTTGAGTAGATTTTCATAAGAAACAAATTACTTAGATATAAATATGACATTATCACTTTGTATCAATCAGTTATGTTGATAAATATATGAAAATCCTTATTCTAGTACAATACTCGCTGCTAATAATTAATTTCTATTTAACAGAATATGCTCGAATTGGACATGAAGAACAGTGTCTTGGTTGACATGGGAAGCGGAAACTGTCAGAAAACACGCATGTTTATTGATGAAATTTTGAAAAAGAAAAGTCATCTAGCTTTTTATCCAATTGATATTTCAAATGGTAGGTATACACATAGATGTCATGCGTCACAGTCGCGTTTGATATTTATCACAAACACAAATATATACGATATTTTTTGTCTAAAGATTTCTCATGGTTTGTCGGATTCAACTTTAGTGCCATTTAAAACCTAATCAAATATATCCGTAACCTTTACCGATGTTTAACTTTGGTTACATATCCTATACTTCTTAATTTTCAGACATCATTTATTTGCCTCAATATATTCCATGTGTGTGCAAAGTGATCTGTTTACTGTTATATCGCTCAGAGTGCACCCCTAGGCATGAATATACCTTGGTGGACCACTCGTTACTTCGCCATTTTGGCATGTGACATACATAAACCGATAAAATATCGATTATTACCATATGCATCGCATTCATTAAATCCATAACGATCTATTGGAAAGGTTGATGCTGGTGTGTGAGGATGTAAGGACAAAAGCATTGAATATTCAGTGTCTTTCGTAAAATAATAGATTATTTCGCTTTCAACATTCCAATGACGCAATTTATTTTCAACGACAGAGTTCAGCTGCACTGGTTGGCATCCGAGCTGCGTGTTTCTTTTCCTGTATGACGTCACAGTTTCAGTATGAACAATTGAATAAACATGCGGTATGCCCAGATATGATATGGCTTGTTTTGTTTTGATTTTGCTACCGAGGCGCATGTACCTCTTGTACTTACATTACATATAATGCTTTTATTTTAATCTTTGATTTGTTTCAGAAATGTTACTAGACACGTGTAAGAAGCTGTCTGATGAATATGCAGAGAAACTGGATATCAACCCGATTGGTGCTGACTACGAAACTGGTATCTCAGAAATAAAGTAAACAAATCTTTCCAAGAAAAATGCTGTAGATGAATAAGAGTTTGTAATGCTCCACTTCCGCTGCTCATTATTGTCATCACTGTCGATAAAATGTTTTGTATCTAAATACCTTAAGTGTATACTTGTTTAATCAGATTATTTTATTCTTTTTATGGCTACAAATGATATATTCTTACGAGATGATCACCTAGAACATTAATGGTCGCATTTTTTCACATATACAATGTAGCAATAAATGTTGTGGAGTATATCTTCCATTCTACATTATCAATAACAAACGTTTCCAATTTATTCACGTCTCAATAACATTTTAGTCTGCTCGTGATTAAGTGTTCATTATATACAAATTTCATCTGATATATAAAACGAAGAGAAATAAATGTATGAGATTAGGTAGATACGGCAAGTACTTGAAAGTAACATAAAAAATATACAGTTTATTTAACTGCTGAATGGTTGTTCTAATCTCAATATCATTGCAATATTTTACTATGAGTACAATTCCCATTTACTTTCATTCTTTGCCAACATACTTGTTTTTCACCTCCACAACCTGTCGCGTGATCTAAAGACGTCCTACGTAACACATCATGGCATCCTTTATATCCTTATACAGTCATACAACACTTGTGCTAAACGGAACAGTCGTCAAATTTGTTCACCAAAACGAAATTTACCGTTTTCGATATTACATGTGACCCCATAATTTTTCACCTCCGTTACAAATGAAAGGCCGTTGCGTTATCACAGCGTCAACCGACCACCCTGGTCTGGTGGCAAGTGTTCGATGCAAGTAAGTATATAGCTATAGAGGAACGAGGAGAAATTGAAATGCCATTGAAATTGATATTATTCGTTCTGAAGAAAAAAAGTTTGAGAGTTTGCTCCATATCTATATATTTGCATTCTGCACCTATCATCTCAAGAGGCCAAGAACCAGTTTTTATATAAAACTTTGTTCAATTTACTCAATGATGCATCAGACCAAATATGAGAAAAAAATAATCATTCCTATAGAAGGAGTAAGATCATTTAAGAATTTTCTACATTCCCCTATTGAGCCCCGACCTTAGTGGCGTCATCAGGCACTGTTACCGAGAAATTGTTCTCCTCCACTCAATAATGCTTCATACTTAATTTTGACAAAATCCTACTGATCCTACAGAAGTAGCATTTTTCACAATTTGTTATACCGTTCGAACAGGTCCTGCCTCTACAACCTTAAGAATAACTTGATCTGTCTACCATATTTGGCCTCATCCCTCCTACACGGGAGGCTGAGACCATCCTTTATACAAAATTGATTCCCGTTTCACCCAAGAATATTTCTGACAAAATTTGGACAAAAGTCAATCAGTCCTACTTGAGGAGAGGATTTTAAATGTATTGTTCTATTTTCCTTAATGAGCCTCGTCCCTTACAATCTATGAAGTTGTGATCAACTGTATAGATAAAGCTGATTCTTATACATACAATGATTAATCCGTCCAAATTAGGTCAACATCCAATGATTATTACTGGAGCAATAGAATTTTAAAGACAATTCTCTATTCCCCTTATTGGCCCTGTCCACCTCGTCTCAGTGGCAAAATCTTATCATACTAAATAAGAAGTAGTAAATTAAAAACAATCAGGCGATGCCGGTGTCAATTCTTGCAAATTAATTTTGCTAATGGTTTGTTTGCTAATTTAACCTTCACGCATATTTTGCCACATTCATATCAATTTCGATTATTGGTTTTGTTGTTTTGCACGTGATATTCTATATCATATTATCTCTGTCGTGCAGACAATATACCTGTTCAAAACTGATCCTATGGTTTGGTAGTATCCAGTGTCTGGAGCCTGACGATCAAGTACGAAAACTAAAGCTAGTGAAATCAGTGATGACAGGTTCGTATTGTTATTTTTTCCAAATGAATAAACGTTGTCATTTAAAGATGAAATATCAGTGCATTTATTATGTTAATTTACATCAATTTATTATTTTACAGCTGGCTGCAGTTTGATTTTTAGTGTCGATATAACGCAAGAAAGAGATGATATCATGAAGGCCTACAATGACTTCCACGGTGAGAATTATTTTCTTTATATCTAAACACGAGTAAAATGTCATCGGGGTATTCTCCACAACACTAGTTCTTTCGACAATTTCTGTGGCATTCTTTATCGTAACTGTTCGTGTTGTTTATCTGTCAAATTGGAATTGAGCATGCATCTGAAATGTCCCACGGAGGAAAAGCTATACTCCGTTCGTAATAATATATTGAAAAGCAGTAAATTAAGCGAGCGCGTGCGTGCGTGCGTGTGCGTGTGTGTGTGTGTGTGTGTGTGTGTGTGTGTGTTTAACTTTCATTAAACTTATTACACACTTGGCGGGAAAAAACTTTTGGGTGCGTATAAAATTACAATGTTAAAAGAAGCGACGCGCAACCTTTTTTCTCGCTTACTCTTACTGCAATAGAAGTATACGGACAGCAATATGCATATACCGAAATAAAACATGGCATTCCAATATTTTTTATCTTGAGACAAGTTATATCTTACGAGCTAGATAAGTACATTTCGTTTCGTCAGATTCCGTGTTCTTTTTCTTAACAATACATAAGCTGACATCGGCTGCGCCTCTCCGAGGAGTGAGGCGCTATGCCTCTTACGAAAAGACTGCGTTCTTTAACAGAGGTAAGTTATCTGTCACATTTTATCTTAACAACGGTAGCTAGCCCCCATGAAAAATTATATAGCTTTCCAACATTTAAAACTGAATTAACTTTGTTAAAAATAGCCTGATTCAACAACTTTATTTCTCACTTGCTTATAATGGCCGCCTCTGTGCGGGATCTCTCTAGATTTGTCATTGTAACTTGACATTCCCGCTCATTTATTTTTGCTATGTTTACAAACACAAATCTAGAGAGATTCCGCATAGTGACGGCCATTCCAAATAATAAAATAAGTGGAAGTAAGTGTACATAGTTTACAACATTTAATTGTTTTGATACATATGCACGTACACTGTAGGTAGAAAAATGTTTTATCTTTCCATCGACGTATAATTTATAAATATCGCGTTGTCATGAATTATCTAAAATATTGCTTGAACGCCGACCCTTGCAGGTCGCTTTTTTTTGTAAGGAAGAATACTCTAACTATTGACCGCGACCATGTCAAAAATAAAATCGTGGTGAGATAGTCAGAACCCTTCAGACTACTCTTGCCTTAATTAAGGGGTTTGGCCGATTACAGGTGGTTCACACCTCCTTTGTTTATATAATTATAAGCCAGTGCCCTAGTGTCTGGGTTGAGTGGGCTGACTGTAATATATTATATATCAATGTATAATAAGGACTTTTTACTTCCCCCCACTGCAATTTTGAAATTGCACCTGATGCATGCATGTATAATGCTAAACTGCAGTAGTTTAATCTGTGTCCAACATATTGTCTGGTAAAGCAGCCAGGAGAGAACACATTTAACTTGTCAAAATTCATTATACATGTAACTTATCTCCAGCTGTATTGAAAAAAGGAAAGAAAACAAATCATGTATTCCTGAATTGTGGATCTGAATACTGGTCCACTCTTATTATAATACTATGACTACTTCCTGCAATCGATAAATAAAATATCACAAAAAGAAACTCCATCAATTTTACAAGGTTACAAGTGATAGTGTATTGTAATGTCTGGTATCTACTTGTTTTGCATGAAATTTGTTGAGCAGAATGTAATTTGTATAAGAACAAAAGGAAGTTTGTAGGAGAACATAGCTTTGTTCCTAGTGCTATTAGATTTTTTTTAAGGCTGTCACGGGTACAAAATGTTGGCCCCGAGTACTCGAATTTCAATACCTGACCCGTACCCAACAATAGTCATGAGTCGTTAGTCTACATGCATACAGTGTTACATGCACGGAGAGGATAAATTTACCTACGTGTAGTGTGGGGCTTGATACAGTGTCATATAAGAAAGAGAGAGGGGGGGGGGGGGTGATAAAATCATGTGATATTTCAGTATTTACTCATTGCAAAACTTCATCGTGTAAACGAGAGGATTAGGGTCTATAATGCTAACGTTGTGACAGAATATAAAGAAATCAATTTGCATATAATATGCCCAACAGAAAGTAGCAGTCACATGACAATTCTGATCCGGAAAGTCTCTAGCTAGTTTTATACATGTATACGATAATGATTAAGGTTTCAAGTACACATGGCTGCTTGAGCCAGAGGTGACGGTTTCTGTAATGAAATACAAGTGTGAGTATAAACATTAGTAATACATTGTTGCGTGTGAACATATTGGATACAGAAATTGTAATGTCATCAGAGTAAGAAATTTTATTGATTTAATAAAGTTTTACTGGTAACATTGACATAAGACCAATATTTCCTATTTTGACGTGTACTCGGGTAGACATTTTTGAAACAGGTCACTGTTCAAACCCGACCCGTGTCCGGGAACTCATGACAGCCCTAATTTTTTTAACCATCAATTTCTGTATAGCCCCATTTTTGAGAGATTTTTCTTGAAATCTTAACAGATTTTTATAATTGTGTAATATATTTTCTTTTCAGAAAAAGAGTAATGGTCCAAAGACAAGGCCACTTGATGACTTCATCATTGTAAATATACCAAAAAAAGGTATAGCATCTTTTGTATTGAAAATCCATTCAGAACAATTTAAAAGGATCATTAAATATATTGTCAGACATAAAAAGAAAAGTGTTTAATATATATTTTATTTCTTTTTCATGCATGTCGATTTACTTCAAGAATAATTTTTTTGCTAAAACTACAGAATAGAAGAGTAGAGTAATGATTTACAACTGCACAAGGACTTGATGGTATTAATGATGTAGTAAATAAGAAATTTAACTGCCGATCCTAGTGCTTATAAATCTCACTTATAGTGTTCAGGACAGTACATTATTTATATATGTCACATCATCATCTAATTAATTCATTATACAATTCTGATTAATTTGTGTTAAACTTATATATTATGTATTCAGACTGAGATTTATTTGAGCTAGCATCAGTCATTAGATATTGTGTGTTAAGATTATAGTTGACAAATTAAATATGCAGAATTTAATATCAAAATGTAATCTTTTCCCATAGGTAAAGGTGTGCTGGCAAAAAAATATATACCAAAAGGGGACACTGTGCTGGAGTATTGTGGTGTCATAAGGACAGATGAACCACATCAAAGTGAGGATGACACATATATTTTTGAATGTGTCTTCAAAGGCAAACAGTACTGGTATGTAAGATAGCATCCTGGTTTATTGCATGGTGTCCTAATTTCAGCTGGGCATAGTTTGCAGGTAGACCATTGCATATTAAGAACAAAATCCATCCAAGTGCCCAACAGAACATTTACATAGGTAGTGTTAGTGCAGTTTTTTTTAAAGCAGCATTTTCAGGAAATTGGGAAAATTAAAAATTACTTATTAAAGCCAAAACAAAGTAATTTTTTTCAATTTCTATGTTTTTATATTGGCCGGAAAAAATTCCTATGTTTTTATATTGACCGAGTACTCGTACTGTAATCATTTCAAAGGTTTCTGAAAATAAATGGCCACATTATAGTTCCGTAATGTTAATTACAGGTAAACTTTCCTAGTTTTGAAATTTTTAAGAGATCCACATGCTCTTGTTTTTCTTTGTCTTTAATCAGTAATTTCCGTACTGCATGCTCTGTCTAGATTCCACCCCAGATCTTGTTTTTAGTCTCACCCCAGCATACAAAATGGTGGCACCCATGTTTTTGTTTTGTTTCACTTTGGGACGATAATTAAGCAAGTTAGTGTCACTACACACTGTTTTAACATGACAGAATTTGAGAATAGATTCTTATAATATAGTTTGCGTTGTTCAGTACAACTTATATAGGTGTCGTATTTAAGTTGAAATCTGTTCTCGAATCATCTGCTTAATAGGCAGAATCAAACGTACAAAGTCTTGGGCTCACGTAAACGCTTGGACATTGAAGAAAAAAAACCCACAAAAACAAACACTTACGGTGCTTGGGCAGAAACTGGCAATTAGTAGGATATCAGAAATATTCACCGCCATCAATAAAGTCAGGTATCAATTGGGAATTTTACCATCAGTTTTGAGAAAATTTTACCCTTTTTTTGGCAAGGGGAAGCCGCCGATATTCGGTGGTAAAAACGACCAAAAAATCAGTGTTAAGTGGTGTATGAACTCAATCTAGCACCTCCTTAAATGACCCTTGCTGTCAATAGGACATACAACAACAATAAACAACTAAAAAATTGTAGGAAAGAATTTTACAGGCTTTTCACCACTAGGGCTTATTTGCCCTTCACAGTAAGAACTACGCTAATATTAGCACTTTGAGACATTTGGTTATATAAATTAGAAAAGGATGTTTACAGATTTAACATATTTAATTATTGTGACCTTAAAAGTGGGTCAAGGTCATTTATACTTGTATTGTAAAACTTGACTACCAATGACATTCACATCTTACATACTACTAGTTCCAAATTATTCTAATGTTCTATCGACTCTTCATAAAGTTCTGGTATTGATGAATGTAAGAACTCTGTCCTGACGGAAATAAGGGACCGTGCCTTGGCTAGCATTAAAAGGGTGACTTTAATTATATCATAATATATGGAAATAATTTGTCGTGTTCACCAGCTTTAATTAGATCGGAGACCCTGGTGTCTACATTTTAGAGACCCCAATCAGAGTTTTTGCCAGGCATCTATAGGGTCCGGTACACGGACCCATTCCCAATTTCAATCTGTATTTTCCCAATTTGAATTAAAACAAGAAAACCTTAAAATATCATGCTAACAGTTATTACGAGTTTTCAGTCATTAGGCCTAATCATGTCGACTACACAAATGTACACACGTATATTGGTAAGCGTGCGCTGGGAAGTCAAATCATATCTGCGTTTGAATTGCACGTTGTATAAGGACTTGAATGCAAAGCGTTTACGGTACATTGACATGTTTTTTAATGGTATTGTCACATAATTCTAAATACTACACAAAAAAGATTTTGGTGAAGGATTCAAAGGATTTGGTGAAACTTACTAGTATTTTCCCAAAATTATGAAATACCAATGTTATTTTCCCAATTTGTGGTAAATGCCGATGATATTTTCCCAATTTTTGCTCAGGGTCCCTTTCCCAAAATAGCTGGCAAAAACCCTGCCAATGTGGTTATTTGACAGTGATTTCACTATACTACAACCTGTTGTAAGTCTTCATTTTAAATCAGTGATCTTCAGTAAATAATTACCATCTCGGCGATTGCATACAAAGTTGAAGAGCTCTCTCTCCATCTCTGGGTGTTTCGAGGTAGCACCTCTGTCAGCCCTTCTGGTCATTGGTAGGGACTTTAGACTTCTTTTTTCTTCCATGCCCTGATATTTGACTCCGGAACGTCGAAGTGGCTACCGGCGGCACGAAATCCAAGTCTCTCGGCGTAGTCAATGGCGTCCAGTTTTTCTTTCACTGTAAACGATGTTCGCTGTTTCCCCATGTTGAAGTTGGTGTAAACAATCTATCATTATATACTTTCGGATACCGCGGTGGGTACAGATACCATGAAAGATCATGCCTATACTGAAAACAAAACAACATCGTTTTTGGACCAATAGTACGCGTTCAGCCCAAGCCGGATGTCATCAGTCTCCTCATACTCAACGTGTTAACTGTCATTAACCATTAATTATACAATAGCCAAGCCTTTCATGCTTGTTGGGTCACCTGGGTAAGTTTGTTTACTTAAGGTAATTACATGTGTTAGGGTCACGCTCATTGTGGTTTCCTAATTATCAATGGATCAGACCACATCAAATGTTTCGTCGCAGTGACCAGTCAATTAATTTTTCTGTAGAATATTTTTTTTAAAATCTGATCTCCAAAAAGTACCTGCGCACTATACGCAAGTGCGCACTATATGCGAATATTTACGGTAACACAAAAAACCTCTTGCTGTGTATTAATATTTTTCACTACCATATTTGTCCGCCAATAGGCCCATGCTCAGTAATAAGCCCACCCCCTTTTTTTTAACCAACATTTGGGGGGGGGGGGGTGTCCGGTAATAAGCTCATCCCCCATTCCGACCTCAGCAGTAAAAAATTCATGTAATGTGCACACTTGTGTAATATGAGTACCCTCAACTTTGGGTCTAAAAATGCTTAAAAAAATGCTTCTATTCGGGTAATGTTTGCATGATTTTCCTGTCAAAAACAATGTCCAACATACCTGGAACACTCACTCACTTGAGCATAAAATCTGTTTGTTCATGGTTTCTCAGCGAAGTGGGATAATTTTACAAATAACATTTCTGATTTTCAGTAAATTTATAATGAGAAATCAAAACATGACAAAGTTTTAGCGGTATGCCAACTTTTTTTTCACAGGTTAGATGCAACGCATGATGATGGATCACTAGGCCGTCTGATAAATGATGACAGAAAGCCAAACCTGAAACCAAAGATGGTTCCGATTTGTGGAGAGCCCCATATTTTCTTCTATGCCATCAGAGATATACATCCAAGGGAGGAATTGTTATACTGCTATGGAAATGGTCCATATCCCTGGAGAAATACTACAAATGTAAAGGACTCTCCAAATGATCTTGTATCCAGTATACAGAAGGATAGTATACCTGTGACAGAAACTGATGATACTGCTACATACAGTTCCAATGAACCAGCATCTGACATTTCTGTGTCAATGGTCAACATCCCTGCATCTGCAACTGATGCCAGCAAACCAGATACTGACCTTTGTAAGTATAAATTATATATATGTTACACTTTTTTTTATATTGTTATGTCTTTATTTCTCTTGTGACACAGGAGGAGGATGAAAATAGGGTTCTAAAGACCTCTGATGAACAAATAATAAACATGTATCCCAGTAATCATCAGGAACAAAGTAAGATTATTTATCCTTTTGCAGTGATTTTTAGTAAACAATTAAGTAATTATATTATTTGCTGTATTGTAAAATCAAAAAAGAGAAACCATTTCATCTTTCTGTCACAAAGTTTGTATTTGAAACACATTCCTGTATTATCACTTTACCTGATGTGTATATATTACATTTTCAGTAACTACACACAGTCCTGAATGTATGTTACCAGATGTAACTGATGAAGATGTGATGGCTCCCTCATCGGTTGACAAGCATGACAAACCATCAAATCTACCCAGAGATACAGTTGCTACCCTGGATGATGGCATTGATAATACCCCAGTTTCAACGACAAATGTACAAGTAGTTATGATGGAAACTGATGATACTGCTACATACAGTTCCAATGAACCATCATCTGACATTTCTGTGTCAATGGTCAACATCCCTGCATCTGCTACTGATACCAGCAAACCAGAAACTGACTTTTGTAAGTATAAATATGTTACACCTCCTTCTATATATAGAATGAGGATGAAAAATCTTTTCTTTGAATTAACTTCCAATGAATACTGGAGACTTCAGAAGAATGTAAGATTATTTATTAGCTCACCTGGTCCAAAGGACCAAGGTGAGCTATAGCCGTACCGTGGCATCCGTCTGTCCATCAACAATTTCTTTAATTTGATCAAATTTGGCTGGAAGCATCCTTGGCAGTTGGAGATTCAAAAATGTACAAATGAAGTGGCTGACCCCCCGGGGGCCTGAGGGGTGGGGCCCAAAAGGGTAAATTGGCCATATTGCTTTAAGCATCTTCTTCTCTGAATGAAAGTAAATAAAGAATCAATCATATTTGCCTGGAAGCATGCTTAGGAGGTGAAGATGCAAATTGTACAAATGTAGCGGCTGACCCCCTAAGGGCCTGAGGGGCGGGGCCCGAAATGGGTAATTTTGCCATATTGCTGTAAGCATCTTCTTCTCTGAAACTGAAAGAAGGCTATCAATCATATTTGGCTGGAATCATTGTCAGGAGGGGGGGCGGGGGACATAGACTGATACAACTCTTGGTCATAAAGATCCAGGTGAGCGATACAGGCCCATTGGGCCTCTTGTTTTCCTTCTCAGTGTGTTCTGTAAATAATGATACTTATTATATACACGCTACTGTCGTGTATTATTGTTGTTTAATAAAAATGATAAAGCACACATGTAATAAAAATGTAAATTAGTCTGGTCACTGAAGACCGAATTATGACGTCATGCAGTTGTACATGACACTATGATCTAGTCTTTGTAACAGAAACTTAAATACTGTGTTTGCATTAATTGTCCCTATATAGAGCAGTGATAAATCTATGTGTGAGTCCCGGGTCATAGACTCACAAATTTTAGGAATGTCCTACTAAAATTATAAAAAATACTTCAATTTAACATAGAATGACCCACATTTTTTCATGAAAGTGTGGAAAATGACCCACTGTAAATAAAACATAGATTGATCACTGATAGATTACAATTTTTGGAAATATTTTTGTTAGTATGTTTGTAATTAATAGAATCTAATAATGTGTTAATGTATTGATTTTGAATTTATTAACTTATACATTTATGAAACTTGCCAAAAGCTTGTTTCATATGAAATTAGTATACTTGTTTATTAAAATTCAATCAATGAATGCTTATTTCATTAGCTCACCTGCCAGAAGGTCAAGTGAGCTTATGCAGTGGCACGTTGTCCGTCATACGTCCGTCCGTCTGGTGTCAACTTTTCCTTTAAACAAATTCTTCTCAATAACCGGAGCCATAGAGTAATGATATTTGGCAGGAAGGTTTGTTGGATGAAGCCCTACAAAGTTTGCGAAAAAGAGATGACCTTGACTTTTATTCAAGGTCACGGGGGTCAAATTTGTTAATACCTTTAAACGACTTCTTCTGATAAATCAAAAGGCCTGGGATCATGATATTAGGTCAAAATGTTCCTTGGATAAATGGCAACAAAGTTGGCAAAAATAAATGACCTTGACATTTATTCAAGGGCACAGGGGTCAAATTTGTTAAAACCAAAACTAAAAGGCCTTGGATCATGATATTTGGTCAAAAGGTCCATGGTATTTATGTTTATTAGTGAGATTCAATGAAAGCAGGTGAGCACTACAGGCCCTTTGGCCTCTTGTATTAGATCTTTAAGTAATTTTCATGTTGATTCGTCTTGGTGCCTAGTTGTGCATTGTACTCTATTTTTGAACCAATTTTAGAAAACAATATGGCAAATTATGGCAGCAATCTTGGATTTTGACAGTAATATATATTACATTTTCAGTAACTACACACAGTCCTGGATGTATGTTACCAGATGTAACTGATGAAGATGTGATGGCTCCCTCATCGGTTGACAAGCATGACAAACCATCAAATCTACCAAGAGATACAGTTGCTACCCTGGATGATGGCATTGATAACACCCCAGTTTCAACGACAAATGTACAAGTAGTTAAGATGGAAACTGATGATACTGCTACATACAGTTCCAATGAACCAGCATCTGACATTTCTGTGTCAATGGTCAACATCCCTGCATCTGCAACTGATGCCAGCAAACCAGATACTGACCTTTGTAAGTATAAATTATATATATGTTACACTTTTTTTTTTTTTTTTTTTTTGTTATGTCTTTATTTCTCTTGTGACACAGGAGGAGGATGAAAATAGGGTTCTAAAGACCTCTGATGAACAAATAATAAACATGTATCCCAGTAAGTATCAGGAACAAAGATTTTTTATCCTTTTGCAGTGTTTTCAGTGAGTAAATAAAGTAATATTTATTTATTTATGAGTATTATCATGATTGGCTGTATACATGTGGAGAATTGAAACAGGGAAAAAATGTTCATCTGTCTGATACAAAGTTACCTTCTGTATTGCCACTTTACCTGGTGTGTATATTATATTTTCAGTAACTACACACAATCCTGAGTTTAAGTTACCAGATGGTGAAGATGTGAGAGCTCCCATATCAGGTGACAATAACCATGATAGAACATTAAATCTACCCAGAGATGCAGTTGCAAGCATTTGTGATGAATTCACTCCAATTTCTAGAGCTTGCTTTTTTGTTCTGTCTGGATTTCGAATTACTGAGGTATGTTAAGTATGTGAGTGGACAATGTGTGTTTTCAGTACACAACAAAGCTATTCCATGCCATAGATAACAGAAAGTGTGGGTTGGACTGTAGACTTTTTATATGTTCATGTCAGTATTAGAATATTTATCATTTGTTCATTCCTTAATACCCACTTTTCATCTGACCTGCTTTCATGTAATTTTTACTTTTTTCTTCCAAACTCTTGGCTTCAGTACTACCTCTGGATGGTTTTCTAACTAATTAAATAGGGTCTTTCTATGTTCCATCGGCCGAAGGGTAAATGCCTTTAGCCCATCTAGATTTAAATCTATACATATGTTAGGGCTTTGTGTTAAATGTCTGTACTTGTGATGTGATTATCTACAACTTATTTGTATCTTGACAGAGGGGCAGACTGCCTCAAAAAATTAACATATTACTTGTCTTCAGCACAGTCGGTATAACTTCACTGATCATATACATCTAATTATTGTATGTTTAAATAGGAAATCAAAAAGAAATTCAGAAGAGTGGCCATTGCATCAGGATTTAGGAAATGCAGATACCTTGACTCCTTCTCATCATCTGTTACCCATGTACTAATGAAAGAAGGTAGGTTCAAGTTGTTAGCTAAATCTTCCTGGTTTGTGGTTTTAATTTCAGTGATTAATTTGGATGCATCTTATAGTATATAAATCTTGATTTTCTTATTTTTGCAAAGGATGTTTTTAGACAGGTAACATTTTACTTTTTTTTTTTTTTTTTTTTTTTAACCTGTATTTTTTTTTTTTTTTTTTTTTTTTGAACCTATATAACATGGTTGGATCTTAAGATCTTATAAAGTTGTTTCCCAAGCATATAATACTTCAGCCAATGAAAGGATATGACGCTTTTCATGAATAGTATTAAAGAAGCCGAAGAGTGCATTTCACATACATGCATTTATGAGTTTTTTTAGGGTACTATGTAACTTCCTTCATAAAAATATAAACATGTTTTAACAGATCCGTGTGATCGTACAGCAAAGTACTTGCAAGGAATTGCAAAAGGGTGCTGGATCTTGTCTCCCAGTTGGATTACAGACAGTGTAAAGCATAGATGTATCCAGCCAGAGGTAATTAGTTTCTCATATGGATGCATGCATTTCCCAAATATGTGAAGAAATTACGCAGTTTTGCTTACATGTGTTTCTATATTGAAACAAATGCGATGACCAAGATTCAGACTAAGATAACATACCAACCCCACCCCCGCATGCCTATTGATAGGACATAGTGCAACAATAAAACAGTATTGGTATTGGAAACAAGCCTCCGAGAATTGAAATAATAGTGAATGTTAACACCGTTACGCAAAAAAATTATATCCATTAAATTAATACAGTTGGTCCATTTAGCCACAAATATGCAATATTTGTATATTGACGGGGACATTCATTGATTGCGGAGACATTCATTTTGAACTGCATTTATAGTTTATGTTTATCTTTTTTGTCTTTTTGGAGTTAAATTTTTACTCAGTGTGTATTGGGTTCTTTCGTCATCTTTACAGGAAGGCTATGAAATAAGTGGAGACAATGTTACTTGTTGTATGAATGGGCCACGAAGAGCACGGCTGTCATCACATGGAATTCTACACACAAAAAAAATATATGTGGAACTGGCTGAATTAGACACAGTTACTGTTTTGGGTATGGTTACAGACATCATTATGAGAACATATTATCCTTTTCATGAGAGAGAGAGGGAGAGAGAGAGAGGGAGAGAGAGAGAGAGGGAGAGAGAGAGAGAGAGGGGGGGGGAGAGAGAGAGAGAGCATTAGGACTCCTGTTTAACATCACCACATGGTTATTTTACTTATAACTTACCTCCATGATTACAAGTACATGGTTGGAAATTGATACATTAAATGGTATCTCTGACATGTCTAACAACTGTAGTAACAAGGAATTAGAGGACATTTATTGGTAGCAGCATAGTGGGACTCATTTTAGTATAACAGATGAAAAAAAACTAACAAAAGTAACAAGAATGCATTAAAATTATACCTTGAACTCTCATTTTTGTCTCGCCTTCGACGATAGTCGAAAAAGGCGAGACTAAGGTGTTACTTTTCCTACAGGGGTGACCGCGTCAACATTTACGTTAAAAGTCCACAGCGTTATTGTTATCCGATTGAATTAAAACTTGGTCACATTACTCGTAAAACTGTACTAAACACCTGCCCCAAATATAAAGGGAATTGATTGACAGGTTTTGGTATTTTTGGGCAAAAACATGTGAATTTTGGTGAATTTTGAGAATTTGCATTAAAGTCCAGTTTTCACTGCCTTATTGCTATCTTAATTAATTCACACTTTGTCACATTACCCGTACAACTTTAGTGAACACCTCCCCAAAACTAAAAGGAAATTGATTCACAGGTTTTGGTATATCAGATAAAATTTAAACTTGGACATATTACTGTTACCATCATGCTGAGCGCCTACTCTCAATTTACAGAAAATTGCTTTACAGTTTCAGATATTTTGGGGTAAAACCTTGTGAATTTTGAGAAATGGTGTTTAATTCAAATTCTAACACCATTATACCATATACCTTACCACATTATACAGGAAATTGTCGTACAGGTTCAGGTATTTTAGAGCAAATACATATTCTATATGGACTTAGATGTTACTGGCAAAGTGGAAAAGGCGAGACATATATTTACGCGTAATTCTTGTTTCATGTTAAGTATTCTTCATACATTAATTAACAAAAATAAACCACCAGGCATACTTCGAACACCTTCATCTTCATATTGAATTTCATAATGTGATCACTGTTTTGACTATAAAAACACTTAAAACTAGTGCTATAACAGGTACCCGGTTCATTAAGTTTGGTTGGAAAAAAACCCAACTGTACTACAACTGTACTATCCAGTTAGTATTTCAATATCTGATAACCATTGTCATTGCCCTGTATGGCAAAAGCTCCCTCTCCCCTCATTTCTGTCTCACTATGTTATATTACGTCATAATCTGGAACAGGTATATGAGAGAAACCAAAGGACTACAGTATTACGATATCTTTGACATCTCTACTCCAAAACAACAGAGTTAACTCAACAAATCTTGGTTATCAAGTTACTGCTTAGTTAGTCAAAGATGGTTATCCAGTTGGCAGTTTCGGCTAACCATTTCAGCACTAATTATGTCTCCTCTTCAAATAATTTCTTGTCTTTGCCATAATTGCTATGCTATTAACCGTAAAAATATCTTCATCAAACTTGGTTGGTATGTAGTTGCATCACCTAAAGCAGATGTGAAGTGAACTGCCAATAGGTCACTGTAGCCTTGAAATTGAGGTCAAAGCACTGCCAATAGGTGGCCACTATAACTTTGACCTTAAGCCACAGGTAGAAATGCCAATACCTGGGTATATTATTATACATTTGTGATACTGCAATTTTTTCTCATTTCAAGTTTATTTATGATGAAATCTTCTATATTGTGAATAGTAGTAAATAGTATATTAAATTTTATGTGGCAGCTAAAATGAACTTAATTTGCTTTTACTTGCTTTATAGATATCCCTGCCCTGGTCATGTCTGCTTCAGGCATTCTGTCTTCAGTAAAAGAATGTGACCTAATTCTTTTTACAAAAGAAAAAGCAGATTTGACTGCAGATGACACTGAGCTTTTGAAAGGTACAAAGAAATTATTGAAATAAAGACATATAGGAGGCTAGATCTTTGCAGAAGTAATTTATACCATAGATTTTCAAGTACAAATCCACACACAAAGAAAAATGAAAACCATAAATACAGTCAAACCTGCAATAGAGGACACCTCCATATAAAGGACTCCTGCCTATAAAGGACCATAGGAATCTGATATTTAGTGCGTATTGTACGAGAAAATCAAAACACCAAATCATACCACCTATAGCGTATATTATACGTTCTATAGGCCTATATACGGTATAGGTGGTATGATTTGTTCTTGGTTTTCTCGTACATTACGCACTAAATATCAGATTCCTATGAAAGGACAGTCTCAGGAACCCCCAACAAGTTTTACTATATACCTCTATATAAAGAATACTCTGTATAAAGGAAACCTGTCCATAAAGGACACTTAGAAATTCCCCAAAACACTATTTTCTATGTAAAATAGCCTCTGTATAAAGGACACCCAAACAAAACTATACCATTCTATCATATTGGCAAAGAATCCAAAATTGTGAAACTGATTTAATAACTAATTATACCCTAGCTAGCTACTTGAATACATATAAAAACAATTTATTCGGTCATAATAGATGAAAACCTATTAGGTTTTTTTCTGTTTGAAAAGTTAATGAAAACTTAAAAAAAAAGTGTTTATTCAAATGTTATATATAATAGTGATATATTTAGATATAGTTACACAGCATATTAGAAATGTTAGTGACCTCTATATAAAGGACACCTTTCTATAGAGGACACTTAAGTCTTTCCCCTTCAGTGTCCTTTATATACAGGTTTGACTGTACCTGTATCACATTAGGAAGGCTGATATTAATGTAAAAAATATACTCCGGGTGATTACATTTATGTGTGCATAATTTTATAAATAGATCAAGCCAGCCAGATGAAAAAAAATCTAATATGATTGCTAGTTGTAAAACATTCTGATATTGTCCCTTTGTTAATATTGTTACATATATATACATGATAAATCTTCCTCTGAATTCTTTCTCAAGTGCACTTTTCTCGTTATATTTCTAGTGCTGTAAAAACTGATTGGTTAATACTTCCAGAGCGAGTAATGCGGTCAACTTTTTTTAATTATTGGTGGAAATTGTCTTTAATTTTGAATTTGTAGAATATGGTAGAAGATACGATAAAGACGTTGTAACAGTGGAATGGCTTCTTGACAGTGTTTGTGTTTGGACTCTTCAAAATACTGACAGATACACTGTAACATCTTTGAACAATTCCTCTGATGAGGGTTCATCGTCACCATCTTTGCAAGATTGTGAATCTGCTGATCCGTTATATGAGCCATCTGATACCGACACAGATGAAGAGTAGGTATTCATAACATGGTATTCTTCATTAGCTTCTCCTAGTTAGGTTAAAAGACGCAATCTTGTTTCCCAAATCAAAAATTTCTATTGCATTCAGTTTTTATGTCGCCTGCTTTAGCAGGTGACAGGTAAGTATTGCTATGTCGGTGTTGGCGGTATCATCCACCCTATGGTTTCTGTGTGATAACTTGAGTTATCTTGGACCGATCAAACTCAAACGTCACACAATGCTTCCTTACCAATAGAGCTTGCCTAGGGTTGCTTTTCAGGGTCGATGGTAACAGGTCAAGGTCACTATTGTTAAAAATAGATTTTTTTTTTCTGTGCGATAACTTGAGTTCCTCTGTGCCAAATAAAGTCAAACTTCACACAATACTTCCTTATCAAAAGTGCTTGCCTGAGATTGCTTTTCAGGGTCGAGGGTCAAAGGTCAAGGTCACTCTTACTATAAATAGAAAATGTGTTTCTGCTTGCTTTGCAGGCGACACATCAACTTTCGTGGAATTCTTGTATGAGTACTGTTTAATATAAAATTTACGAAAAGAAATTTATACATGTGTTAATGTTCAAAATCATTAAATTATAAAAATAGCAAAAAAAACAAAAAAAATGAAATAATTTAACTGTATACTGATGTATTTCACAAAAGATGTCTTCCAATGACAATACCATTTAATATGTAACTTGCACCATTTTTAGCTCACCTGGTCCGTGGCGTCCGTCAACAATTTCTTTAATTGACTTCTTATAAACTACTGGGTGGAATTTGGTCAAATTTGGCTGGAAGTATCCTTGGCTGGTGGGGATTCAAAAATGTACAAATGAAGTGGCTGACCCCCCAGGGGCCTGAGGGGCAGAGCCCAAAATGGGAAATTTGGCCATATAGCTTTAAGCATCTTCTTCTCTGAAACTAAATAATGACTATCAATCATATTTCGCTGGATGAAGCATCCTCAGAGTCGAGAATTCAAAAATGTACAAATGAAGTGGTTGCCCCCCCATGGGACTGAGGGGCGGGCCTAAATGGGGTACTTTGGCATTATTACTTTAAGTATCTTCTTCTCTGAAACTAAATAAATGCTGTGGGTCATATTTGGCAGGAAGCATTGTCAAGAGTTTGGGATTCAAAAATGTACAAATTGTCAAGCTGACATTGGAGGGGGGGGGGGGGGGGACAAATTATGCCTAGAACTCTTGGTCATAAAGATCCAGGTGAGCAATACATTCCCTCTGGGCCTCTTGTATTACATTATTACTGTAATTTATTTTATTTCATTTATTTATTTACTTATTATTTTTCTGTTTGTCCTCGGTGTACTTCCGTAGTGTAGATTCCTGTTGCGCATATATAAATGTTGTACATATTATTATTAATTATTTTAGTACCAGAAGCAAGTACTGAGTCCAAGTGAGTTATATGGTGTGCATGATTACACTAACTTTTTTCCCAGTAAATGATTAAAAACAAGATAAGCTTTGAAAGTATTTTTATATCTCTGCAACGGAGTTTGGGGGTTAATTTGGAAACAGCTTGTCCATCCATCCCCCCATCTGTCTGCAGACAGACCTTGCCCACTCAACTCTTCCTACAATTTTCATTCAAAATCCTTTAAACTTAATAGGCTGTTAGAGTTAAAGTTGAAGGTGCGCTTCTTGATGTTATTTTTCATCTTCCCAACCATTTTTATGAAAGTTAGGCCCCTTTACATTTTGCTCAATTATTATTTCCACAAAGACACATACAAAATTTAATCAAACAGTCTCTGGATTAAAGATAGGATCATAATAATTGAAACTTAGCAAATCGTGTAACCTATTAATGCCTATAAATATCATTCATAGGTGTTCCAGTACCGTTTCTATGGAAACATGATTGGGACTATGGTTGATTGATAATGAAAAATTGGTATACAGGTGTTGTTCGACATGAGAAACACCAAGGTGAAGTTCATTTTGTGAAATTATAGTTGCCATGGTAACCAGGTCACTATACACAGGTTTTTGTGAAATAGCCATAACTCATCAACCCTGTGGTCATTTTTATTGAAACTTGGTCAAATGGTGCAACTTATTCCAGTACCATTACTATTAAAACATGATTTAGGCTTTTGTTTGGACGAAAATGAAATAGTATCAGATTTTCACGGAAATTGGTATATAGGTATTGTCTTTCATCAGGAACACAAAGATGAAGTCCATTTTCTAATGTGAAAATATGGCCTTCGAGGGAGGCTTCTGATTTGTCAAATTTAGATATTGTTGGAATTTTTGTGAAAATTGAGTCAAAGGTATTGTCTGTGAGGAACATGGCAATGCAGTTCTTTTTCTGATTTTAACACCTGAAACAGTGTATGGGGCATATATACTGGAATCACTTGTCAGACTCCGTGGCTAAAACAATGCATGTATAAATTCTTTGCATCTGCAGGGGTTTTAGCTATCTTCATGATGACAGTTCTAGTTATAACATAAACGGTCCTTTTCCATCTATAACATGGACCGTTTTCAAAAAAAAATTGCTTGTATCACTTGCCAGTTTTTAATACAAAATGTTTTCTAGTATTATATATTCATTGGAAGAAAAATATATCCTGGTTGGATCTAGTCTGGCAGTATTTTCATTTAACTACACTTGTATAGTACTTTAAAAGTTCTTTATTTGAATTTTTTAAAGGTGGAAACAATTTATTTACAATACTTCTATGAACTGTTGATTAACACCGGAAATCAATCAATCCATGCCATACTTTAATATGTAGTTAGCTATAGGTAAAAATCAATTGTTTTATGCAATATTTCATATCATTTGGTAAATGATCTAGAGAGGTAGAGGTTGTCTTACAGAGTATCTGAAATTGAAATGAAAAAATTCTAACCTATGACAGTACAACCAGATATATCTCTTGCATTCCCATCAGTTACTAATGATGTCGTCCAGACATATTTCTAGCTTTTAGTTAATTTTTACAGAGTTATTGACAACTCAGCCAGATCAGATGACTCAAGTGAAATCCCAATCTTGGATCCCAAGGCTTTGAATCAGACTGAAGAAAATATCCAAAAAGATGGAGTTACAGTTAAACTGTTTTCTCAGAATGAAAACGGGAAAAAAATTTGGGATAAAAAACACTACTGCCTATATTGTAACAAGCCTTTTGCAAAACTTCCTCGACATTTGGAAACTCAGCATAAAGATGAAATTGATGTAATAAAATTGCGTTCACTAGACAGGCGTAGTAAAGAACAAAAAAGTGCAAGAGCTACTCTGATTGACAAGCTGAGAAAAGCCGGTAACTATAACCATAACATAGAAGTTCTGAAATCTGGACAAGGAGAGGTTGTACCAAAGAAAAGTTTAAGTAAGTCAAGAAGCAGTGATGATTATTTGCCATGTAGACATTGCCTTGGATTTTACCTAAAGCATGATCTATATCGGCATGTCAGCAAGTGTACCTTCCGTGAGGAAAAACTTGTTAAAGGGACAAGACACCAAAGTAATAGTGCTTTTCTTCTGCCATCAACTGCTTCAGAAAAGGCTGGTTCAGATTTTCAGAAGGATGTCGTCGCCGACATGAGTGTGGATAACATTTCACTGTGTGCAAGAAATGACGAGTTAATCATTCTGTTTGGGGAAAAGCTTTACAAAAAACATAAAGCTTTGCCCCACATGCATCAATACATCCGAACAAAAATGAGGGAACTGTCTCGTTTTCTACTGAAGGCACGAGAGGAAGATGAAGATATAGTTACATTATCAGATTGCATCCAAGCAAACAAGTTTGAGACCTGTGTCAAAGCTGTGAGATCATTATGTGGAGTTAAATGTGGCACAAAAGCGGATATCCCATCTTTAGCTTTGAAAATTGGATTTTCATTGAGCAAATGTGCCAATATCAGATTATCAAAAGCTCTGGTAGAGGGTGATTCTAAGGTACAGGATAATGTGGAAAGGTTTCAGAGACTGTATTCTATGGATTGGAATACTGAAGTTTCTTCCACAGCATTAAAAAGTCTAGAAACAAAGAAGTGGAACAAGCCTTCATTGCTTCCACTCACAAATGATGTAGTGAAGTTCCAAAAGTACTTGGACCAGCAAATTGATGCCAACATAAAACTTCTGGAATCAAAAAACGCCCAAGGTTGGAGGCCATTGTGTGAAGCTATTTTAGTTAGCATCATACTGTTCAACAGAAGAAGGAGTGGTGAAGTGGAGAGGTTGTCCTTGGATGTTTTCAGTCTCAAAAGCAAAACTGACCTCATGCCAGACGTGAAGGAAACCCTTAACAATTTGGAAAAACATCTTGTGGAGAATTTGTCAAGAGTGGAAACTCGTGGAAAGCGGGGAAGAAAGGTGCCAATTTTGTTCCCCAAAAAAACAGAGGAAGCACTGGATCTTCTCATACAATACCGATCAGCAGCTGGAATAGAAAAGGGAAACCCATATGTGTTCGCTAACAACGCAATAGGCTATGTACGCGGAGCTGACTGCATGAGAAGTACAGCATCGGAAGCAAAGTTAGAAAATCCAGAAAATATGAGGTCTACAAATTTAAGAAAACATGTTGCAACACTTTCGCAAGTTGTTAACTTGAGGGACAATGAACTAGACATTTTAGCTCAGTTCCTTGGACACGATGTGAAGGTCCATAGAAATTTCTATCGTCTCCCTGAGGATACTATTCAAATTGCTAAAGTGGGAAAATTACTTATGGCAGCAAACAAAGGAACATTGGGAAAGTTTTCTGGAAAGTCTTTAGATGATATTAGCATTGACCAAGAAGGTAAAAATAAATAAGACATATAATTATAGTGTATCATTGAGTTCTTTAATAGGTTTATTACGGTGGTAATGATGCTTTTAGAATTTTTATATATCATGTTCTGTACTCAAAAAGTTCAAACTGCTTTCATGAAAGGTCACATTGATAATATCTTTTGGCATCTGCCATGACCAATGTAGTTAGTCAGGATATCTAATATTGTTTCAATAGTTTGATTTCATTACAGAAACAGTTGGTATTTCATTCTTATGTTAAATAGTTATTTTGAATAACTCTTGTACAATTAAATCATTTAATTTGTCCTTGTTACAGTGTCTGATGAATCCGAATCTGAGGATGAAACTACACAGTCTACAGAAGTCAGAGATCAAGGTAAATAACATGCATGAATTGAAATACAGTGGACCCACGATAATCCAAACGCCTAAAATCCGGAAAACTCACAATCCAGACAAAATGTTTGGGAACAGATTTCTTTAATGTTATTTGTACATAAATTCGGCAGTCCGGAAAACTCGTAATCCGGACGATTTAGGCTGGAAATGAAAGCGTCTGGATTTTCGAGGGTCCACTGTAAATGCCATGTTGTAGATCTTTTATGTCTTGGCCAGTTGGCAGAACCTGTCTTCATCTCGTGACTTTGGCAGAATATACCTGTGAATGAGCTTTTAGTAAATGTATTGTAGGAAAGCCTTCAAACATCAGTAAAGATGTAAAAGTCCCATCATTTTTTCCCCGCAGATGATGCAGATCAAGATAATGAGAAAGCAGGAAAGAGAAATAGCAGAAAATCTCTCCACAGTACAGAAGCCACTTGCATGACACAGAAACCAGGTATTTTTTTATGTTTATACATCATATAGAATAAAATAGGGTGGTCGGGTGGTGCAGTGGATAGCGCACTTGCCTTTCACCAAGGCGGCCGGGGTTCGATTCCCCGATCGGACGTGAAAAGGTATGGGGTCACCTGCCCGACCACGTGGGTTTCCTCCGGGTTCTCTGGTTTCCTTCCACACAAAGACCCCTCGCGCGCTAACATCTGGGCCAACAAGAGTGATTAATATAAGTTGTATAACTTGTTCCATAATTGTTGTAAAATAAATAAAGTTTATAGTTTATAGAATAAATGATTGTCACAGTAAAATATAACTTGTGTATCTGTATATCATATTATATCTGGACCATAAATGTCTGTGGTACATACATGTAATTGGATTTAAAGATAGAAGTAACCAAAAAATTTATACTGAAAAGGGTTTTAAGAGCAGTTCACAAAATAATCCTGTATAGTTTATCTTGTTTCTTTAATAGGAAGTAGGAGAACTGTAAAGAGAATACCATGGACAGAAGAAGAGAGAAGTGCTGTTAAATCAGAAATGGAGCATTTTCTTCATATCAGGAAAACTCCAGGAAAACTGGACTGTGACAACTGTTTACGCAAATATCAATGTCTGAGTAGAAGAAATTGGAAAAACATCAAAAACTTTGTCTACAATTGCATTCAAAGTTTAAAGAAATGTCATTAAATGATGTCTAAGTAGGCAATATAGACATAAAAAGAAAAGCAATTTCAAGTTACATGTTGGACAATATAAATGAGATTCATTGCAATTAAAATGAGATTTTGTAAGAATTTTTGAATATTCTTTTTATTGAAATTTTTTAATGATAATAATTGTAAGGTAGTGATTGCATGATGGATTGATAAAGGATAATTGTTGTTTTGGCAGACTCGATTCGGTCAAGGGGATTTATAAATGAAATTTAGAAGATGCATTATTTAGTGTTAAGATGAAATACCATTTTGTTGATATTTACCTTCTACACTAGTTGCATTAAAAGTATTTGTAATGGAATGAAATTTTAGAAGAAAACTGTATATTTCATGCTTTGTCATCCTTTACATATTGCAGTGTACAAGTTTGACTGTGATCAAACTTACTGGTAATGATTATTCTTGTTCTCTATAACATTACTGTATCAGATACGTCACTTTTTTTTATTTTAAAAGTGGCAGAAGGTCACACAATGTGTTAAATTCTGTTCATTGATGCTTAATGCAGGAATAAAGTTCACTTATATTGAACATTTCATTTGCATGTTTTATTCCTCATGTATTTTTTTAAGCTATTGAGTAAACAAGTAATCATTGATAGTTTGATTAAAAAAAAATGACTTTGGCATTACTTTACATTGCCAAATAAATTCAAACTGAGGTAAAATTTGATTACTTTGTATTGCACAAGGGTCTAAACACAAGACATGCATTGTCATGGCAAATGAAATGTCAGACGTAGTGTTTCACCTTTTGTTGCTGAGATATAAAGTTGTTATTCAATGAAATGTCAGACGTAAATATTGTTTCACATTTTGATGCTGAGATATAAAGTTGTTATTCAATGACAGTTTAAAAAATGCTTTTGGAATCCACATTAGAATAGAAATTATGTTGGATCATAATGACTTTTGTTTTTGTTGTTCTAATAATGAGACGGATTCAATTTACGGAAATAATTTCATTTTTCCCCCAATTTTTGACATGTTTTATTCTTATCTTTGTCAGATGGTAATACAGTGTAACTTGTCTAAACCGGCCCCTGTGTAATCCGGATCTCTCAGTATTCCGGCCAAAATGTTTGGTCCCAGCACTGGAAAATGTAAGCAATGTTGACCTCTACAAACCGGACACCTGGGTAAACCGGCCAAAAAGTTTGGTCCTGGTGACATCCGGTTTAGACAAGTTACATTGTATATTGCATCTGTTTGTGTTGCTTGTGTTCGATTTGAAAGAAATAATAATAAAAAATAAACCTCAATGATTTATCTCGCCTTTTGTGTTACTTAATACAATATTGCCCCTAGGGGCTGATAACAGGGACAAAGGATCAAACCGAATGAAAGATTGAATTTACTATTTGATATCTTTTCACTGATAAACATTTGATTATAACATGGAGCAAAGTTGGTGAGAACTAAACGTGGAGCCAATTTACCAAAGGTCAATGTCACTGGGGGAAAGGTCAAGGTCAAATGTGGTATCTAGTCACTGATAAATGTTTTGTTTTCACATGATGAAGCAAAATTGACTGGAATCAAAGGAGAAGTAAAATGACAAAAGGTCAAAGTCACTGGGCAAAGGTAAGAAAAAATCCGCCCCCGGTCGCTGGGTTAGAGCAGAGACCTATATCACCATGGTTATATAACTAGGTCTCTGGTTAGAAGCCTGTTTGATATCTCTCTTATTATGAAAACAAAATATCAGTTATATGTATAAATACATCAGAACTCAGGTGACTATTAAGGCCCATGGACCTCTTCTATATAGTAAAAGAATTATGAACTTTTTACTAGGTCAAAATGCTGTTCTATTTGCTAGAAGAAAACATTAACAAAGGCGATTGACTGCATAGAAAACGGATATTAACCGATGTATCTTTTTCTATGGATAGTCAATATGAACGTATTAGCCAAGTAATACATATATATGTATAGAACATGTATGTACAGTCACGTCCTCTTTTTGGAGGTTACACACGTCCTCTCTTTGGAGGTGTCTGACGTCCTCTGTATATTCACACACGTCCTCTGTATGTTCACACACGTGGTCTCTTTGTAGGTAACACACGTCCTCTCTTTGGAGGTGTCTGACGTCCTCTGTATGTTCACACACGTCCGCTGTATGTACACACACGTCCTCTGTATGTTCACACACGTCCTCTCTTTGGAGGTATCTGACGTCCTCTGTGTGTTCACACACGTCCTCTGTATGTGCACACACGTCCTCTGTATGTGCACACACGTCCTCTGTATGTTCACACACGTCGTCTCTTTGTAGGTAACACGCGGCCTCTGTATGTACACACACGTCCTCTCTTTGGAGGTAACACACGTCCTCTGTATGTAAACACACGTCCTCTGTATGTACACACACGCGTCCTCCGTATGTACACACACGCGTCCTCGTTTTGTATCTAAGACACATTTGTCCTCCCTTTGTCGCAAATGTCCTCTCTTTTCATTCATTTTCAAATGATGATAACGAAGCATTTAAATTACTTAGGTTAAATGAAAATTACGTGGTGAGTATACCTTCCAAGCCCGTTGTTTGCAGTCATTAATTACTGTGATAATACCATTATATGTGAGTGCCCTTGGTTTACCTTTGGGATCCAGGTCCTGACTTTGTACCAAATACGTGTGTGTGTGTGTGTGTGTGTGTGTGTGTGTGTGTGTGTGTGTGTGTGTGTGTGTGTGTGTGTGTGTGTTTGTGTGTTTGTGTGTGTGTGTGTGTGTGTGTGTGTGTGTGTGTGTGTGTGTGTGTGTGTGTGTGTGTGTGTGTTTGTTTGTTGAACAAAGATGTGTCCTTTACAGCAGGTTTGATTTTCCATGTACAATGTAGCTATATGCGAGTACAAACAGTTGCCCAGTCAATTGTTTTCTAATTACAGTATATGTAAAATATCCATGCTAACAGTACATATTAAATACATCATAACGTTAAGTAACCCTTTCAAATTTGACGGTGATTTAAGAGTATCCCACTCAAAATGAAGTGCGTTAAGGACCAATCAATATCGTGTATGCCCCCCGCAAGCTGCAGTTACTGCACGAACTTTTTTGTGCATTGAATTGATCGGGGTATTAACCCTTCTCATTGGCATAAGATTCTATTCCTCATCCAGCGCCAACGCCAACTGAGCGACCTTGATTGGAGGATTCTGCCTACGTCTTATCCTTCTGTCCAACTCGTCCCATACATGTTCTGTTGTGGAGAGGTCAGGGCTGTATGGAGGCCAGTCTTGGGTGGGGGCATTGTTTGCTGCGTGATAACCACAGCAAACCCTCGCTACATGCGGCCGGGCGTTCTGCTGAAAAGTCAGTTGACGCTACTGTACTAGAGGAACAACATGCGGCGCTAGGACTTGATCTCTAAAGCGGACGACCGTGAGATTGCCCAGAATAACAACCAGAGGAGTATTGATACCATGCGCAATCCCTCCCCATACCATGACAGATCCTCCCCCAAAGCGGTCATTCTCTATCACGCATGCATTTGCATAGCGTTCGTGGGGACGTCTATAGACACGACGTCGGCCGACTGCCCGGTAAAGCTAAAACCTGGACTCATCTGAGAACAGGACCATTCTCCAACGTTGCATTGGGAAGCGTCTTACGGCCATTGCATTCGTCTGGCACGTCGCCGCGCATTAAGCTGTGGTTCAATTGAACCAATCCTTTATACTGGGTTCGAGATATCGTGTTTTTGTCTCTTATTCTTTTGTACAAGCGGCTTGAGCAGTTTAGTTATGCAACAGTGATTTTAATACGATTCCATCGGGACCTAACTCAAATGCACACATTTGTCAAGTTTCAAGGGTGTACGTCAAAGATTTAATTTACAATATTAACTTTCTGCTAATTGCGTTTCTTCTTCCTCTCAGTATATATTCGTTTTTAGATCCATTCATGATATATTGTTTGGGAACCTACAGATCCAGACGAATGTAAATGTAGTTACGGAGCCGGGATACTTGTTATGATAACCGGGGTAAGCTCCAACAGGTCAGTAATGTGTATGGGTCAAATCTGTAGGCATTAATGTATTCGTTTTTCCATTTCAAACAAATAAACTTTAGATATGGCTTGGAGATCGCATATGATTTCAAGGCTTTTACTTCAGGGATAAAAAGGGGCTAGGTGTGAACCCGAGTCAGCTCTGAAATCATGTATTTGTTTGTCTCTCCAATCCAACAAAGGTATATAAAGTTATAGGGAAGGGTCCCAACTGATTACACGCTCTGACTTCAGGGTAAAAACATCGTTGATTACGGATGATACCGAGATAAGTCATTTGTGCATTAATATGTTTGCCATGCCAAAAAAATAAATATGTGGTTATATGGTGATGATCTCGACTGTTTCTAAGATTAGACTCCCGGGACTAAGGATGACCCAGGGGTCAATAATTAAGCTATAAGTGTATTAGTCTCCGCTTTCCTAACAAAAGTATAGTTATTGCAACGCACGATGCACTATCATGCGCACAACTGTGCTTATATAACGGATTGAAAATTAAACGAAAATTCGTGAAGTTGTTTACTAAATACCGATCACATGAACATTGAAATTGATCAGTGATTATAAAAGTCATTTTTAATTTTCGAAATAACACTGGACCTGTATTATTAGTGTTATCGTATATAGTTTCATACCTCAGAAAGTGGCGAGTATTGGGTGCATCGGGCACCTGCTTACCTGTATACGGGTATATATGTGACAGGTCCGTACCGCCCGTATAACGAACACAACACTCAAGATTTACCAGCGGAAATATTTATATTTTTTCAAAATAAATGAAAAATGAGAGTATTACAGAAGTAATGACAACGAAATTTGCTTTACGATGGTATGAGATTTTAAATGATTCATTGCTATGACATAATGTTTAATGTTATATATTGTGTATATATATAATGTGATTCCGTACACAAAATCTGGTTATGTGTGGTTCTCTGTAAAGAAACAATTAAATTACGAGTGTATCTTAGCCAGGTCACTCTATTTTCCGAACTAGTATACCGGTGTAGTTTGAAGTATTAGATATTGATTATA